TACTTTTTCTTGAATTTTGTTTAAAGCTTTCACTTTTGTGAGGTCTTCAGCATCTCAAGTGGACCCAACAAAAGCAGCTGAAGCAGTAGCTTTACGAATATTGAAAGACGCATTGATTCCTAGTGAGAATGCTATTAGAGAATTTACAGATACCATTAAAGATAGATCAAGTTCAGCCACTAATGCACTTGAAAACATTTCTAATGGGAGTCCAACTATAAGAAATAGCATAAGTAATAGTATGTGGAATAATTTGAATATTGTGAACAAAAGTCCACCAGTTAATCCATTCGCATCATATGCAAAAACTAGAGATGAAATCATTCATATGGCTACCCAGAACAGCCTCTTACCATTTCTTCTTGGGTTTTTTACCAAACATTTAGAAACTGATACAAAAAGTTCAAATACATCTAACGTAAATACGGATAATATAAATATCGATAGAGAGGATTTTTTATAATAGATTCAATCAATTAAGATATTTAGATATATTTATTATAATGCGTTTAAAATTTGTAATATTAATCATGTCACCAATTCGAAACATCCGAATGAAATTCGGTCGCATGTATAATAACAAATTTTGAAAAATCTTTTTCGAATAATAAAAATAAATCATAAATTTAATAACTCTATAAACGATGTGCCATAACCCCCTAACTCTATGTATGCAGATAAGATGATTGTTATATATATTTTATTTTCGATGACTAATAAAAAAAAAAAAAGAATCTGAAGGGGGGCTTCACGGTCAAACATAAAACTAGATAATTTATATACATGATGATGCGCTGAAGTACTGTATAAAGCCTGTAGTGTTTTGTATTGGTCACATGATTTAATTTTTGTATCAATAACCAATTTGTAAAACTAGAGTTTAAGCGCATCTCTACACATAGCCCCGTACATTGCCCTGCATTGCCATTTAACTCGATATGTACTCCCCGTAAAGACTAAACAATATAACATTTGGAGAAAAATAAGAAATCATCTAAGATCGAATATATTATATTTGGATCAGAATTTGAAAGTGCATTTAGAAAATTAATGCATTAAAAGAGTGTACACTTACATTTAAAGAGTTTCCTGTGTATTTGCTGTTGATATTCCCATAACATTATTTGCAAAATGATCCATATGATTTGAAATTACATTATGATTATTCGGATCATTCAGACCATTCATATTATTCATATTTGTCTGTTGTAATCCCATCACATCCGACCATTCATACAAATTAGTCCAATCGAGAGAAATTGGAAGCGACAAAAATGGGTTATTTTCACTATCATTAAACATAAATGATGAAACTTCCGGAATGTGAGAATCCATAAATAATTCATGATCTGGTTTCATTGTAGGATCATTAATCGACATATAACTTGTAGCTGAACTTTCAGAGGCTGGAGAGGAATTTGGTTCGTAACTAAATGGTTGTGTTCCATTGATATTTGAAGAAACTTGATTAATCACATGTTGTCTCATTGCAGCGCTATATTCTCGAATTGAAGCAGGCGTTGCATTTATTTGACTTGGAATTGATGGTGGTGTTGAAGGAGATTGAGATGAAGCTGGCATTTCGTTGATTGTTGAAACAGGTGTCATATCATCCAGATTAGTAGAATGGATTAACTGGTGGACTTTTGTTCACAATATTCAAATTTTCCACAGATCCTCATGGTGCAATAGCTGACATGTTA